CCCCAAAACCCCAAAACCCCAAAACCCCGGAAATTAATATATGAGAGTAATGTATATTTTTCGAAGTTCTATTATTTAAATTTTATTTATACAATTTAACTTAAAATAAATAAAATATCAATGCTTCAAGAACATATGATATAGAAAAGATTTTTTGTGTAAATCTTGGTTCATAATTGATTGAAACTAGTCTCAATTTTCTTTTTTTTCCAAAGTTTTAGGTTCTTTCTTAATAAACTTAACATCTCTCATTGTGATTGAGTTCGTTTTTCCAGCTAATAATTTCAATTGATAGTCGCATTCTTCTAAAGTAAACTTTTAATGAGTCAAAAAGTAGAAATAAACAATATTGAATAGGAACCATGTTCCAAACAAACCCAAGAAATAATAGATTCTTTCATCACGTTCTTTTTCAACGAAAAAGAATATTATCTCAAAGATACAGAGGAGCAAAGAATAGATTATATTTGTCAAGAAATAGTAATCCACAAGAGTAAGATAGGAAACTTTAGGAAGTATATCTGCTAGGCCTAAACGGAAAGCAATCTAGGTCAAGAGAGAGACCAAGATGATGTTAATTGCATCAGCGAAGCCATCAGCTGGATCAATTAGGGCAAGACTGAATGTTATAAATTCCAAAATCAAAAGTGGAAGATAGATGTGCGAGTAATAATATGATCTGGCTCTTTTGTAGATAATCTAGTAGGTTAGTTCATTTCTTGATTTTTTGTTATCAAAAATCACTCTCGTTAGAGGCTGTATAAATTCAAAATCAGCTAATGTTGTATCTTCGAATTTACAAGGGTCATTTCCTCCATTTCTAAAAGATTCGTGAAATACAAGATGTTAACCGCTTGAAGTAGCTCTCAATCTGATATGAAGTGGTTGGAAATCGAAAGGAAAATTTTAGAGTTCAAAGTTTTCTTTGATTGTGGCTTTATATCTAGTTTGATAGAACATAAGGCCTCCGACACATGCTTTCAACTTTATATCGAAGCTATCTATCTCTTATGCATTCATTACTTGAATTCTTGGTAGTTCAATATCATCCAAATTCTTAACTGTTTTGTCTTTTGGAATATCTTTATACTTTTCATCATACCATGTAACTTTGACAATGAAGGATGCTTGGAAAACTTAAGAGCCTCCTGTATCAATTTTTAGAATATTGTAAACATTTATTTGTATTCCAACAGGCCAGGCATCTGGAGTCCTTAGCAAATCTTGCAATACGATTGGGGGTAGGCTATTATTAGGGGGCTAGTATGATTCAACTTTTTACATTTATATTATAAATAAGAATTATAATGCGCATTATTCAATCTATTTTATTCTTTGGGGTTTTGGGGTTTTGGGG